CTTCGTATCATCAGCAAACTGCTGAGGGTGCACTCCATCCATCATCGATGCCATTGATGAAGATGTCGAAGAGCCCCGTTCCCAGGACGGACCCCTTGGGGACACCACTCAGCACCACCTGCAGCTGAGCACAGAGCCACTGACCACCACCCTCTGACCACGACCATCCATCCAATTCCTTACCCACCAAGTTTTCCACCCTTGAAACCCTCAGCTCTCCACTTTAGATCAGGATGAGGTGGGAGGCCATGCCAAAGGCCTTGCACAAGCCCAGGTAGGTGACACCAACCACCCTCCCTTTGTCCACTGATGCTGTCCCTCCATCACAGAAGGCTGCTGGTTGGGTCAGGCAAGATGTTCCCTTGCTGAAGCTATGCTGGCTGTCTTGGATCTCCTCCAGATTGTGCTGATGCTGCTGAAACATCTCTCCCATTATTAAGAAGGAGAAAAAGAAGACCTGGGGAACTGAGATGACTGCATGTGGCAGCGGAACTCACACGCATCGAAAATGAGGACGACTGCTAAAAGAGCACTTCCTCGTGCTGTGCACGCAGCAAAAACTCAGCAGCAACAGCAATTCTCAGAGGTCAGGGGTGGTCAGTGTATAAAGAACCGTGTCACGCAAGCCAGGGCACCCAGGTTCATGCCAAGCAAAGTGGGGACGAAGCTGGCTGCAGCTCTGGGGCTGGTGGGGCTGTGCTGGGGGAGCCACTGTGTGGGCAGCTGGGCACCGTGTCCTTCTGCACATGGAACACCTCACCCTGGGCTGGGTGCTGCTGCTCGGCACCTGGACTGGAGCATCGGCTGCCAGCATTAAGAACAGCCAGGTCAAGGAGGTGGTGATGGACATGGCCCCCAACTCCTTTGATGACCAGTACCATGGCTGCGTCGACTTGATGGAGGCTGAACTGCTGGAGCTGAACCGCACCGAGTTCAACAACTACACCCCTGACTGGAGAAGGGCAGCTGCGGAATGGCAGAGCCGATGGGGCCATGCTGCCCACCCACCAGCACTGCCATGGGATCAGGCCACAGCCGTGCTGGCGTACATGATGCAGGGGAACCTGTACCACCAGTTCAACAGTGCCACGCTCACGGCTGGGCGCTCCCGGCAGCACTACCTGAGCTCCTACCACTACAAGACGCTGCATTTCCTCCTGATCAGAGCCCTGCAGACCCTGAGGAGATCTCAGCTCCAGCGATGCTTCCAGGTGTACCGCGGTGTCAGGGGCACCCGCTACACAGCACAGCAAGGCCAGTTGGTCCGCTTCGGCCACTTCACCTCCTCCTCCCTCCAGAAGAACCTCCCCAGTGTGTACGGTCCAGACACATTCTTCTCCGTGGAGACCTGCTATGGTGCACCCGTCCTGCACTTCACCACCTTTCCTGCTGAGAACAAAGTCCTCATCCCACCCTTTGAGCACTTCAGGGTCACCAACATCACCCGTAACAAAGGCATCACCTACATCCAGCTCCGTTCCCAGGGGAACAGCAGCACCTACAACTGCGAGTTCGTGAAGGGTAAGGGCTGCAAGTGCATTTGGGGCAGTGGGGCAGGGTTGGGCACAGCCCTGGGCAGCTCTGCAATCCTTGCATTCCTGCAGCTGCAGGACAGAGACGGTGGCCCCATGCTTACAGCTCTGTAGGGTGAAAGGGGATCTTGTGGGGATGGCAACACCTCCATAGGATCGTAGGACCGCGTGGGTTGCAGGTGCCCTGCGGTCCAGCCAGCACCAGCCCTCTGCCACGTCCCGGCTGTGTCCCTCTCAGTCAGGCTGCCCAGGACCCCACACCAAAGCTCTTCTCCTTGTATAGTGCAACTTCCAAGCACCAGAAAGCCTCAGTGGGGTTTCCCCAGATCCCTCTCTCCTCCAGGTGGAACCAGCCCAGCTCCTTCACTTTCCATTGCAGAGCTGTGCTCCAGAATGGGGCTGCTGGGTGAATCAGGACACTGAGGACTGGGACATGGGGAGGGCGTGCAGGCTGTGGTCGTGGGGAGGTGGGGAGCTCGGCCGACGGGGAGCCCACGGGGAACTGGAGGCCAGGCCCCGCTGATGGCTGCAGCCCGGCAGCTCTGCGCTGGGGTTGCAGTGCAGTGGGAGCCTCTGTCTGTGCCGCGGCCCTGCAGCGCTCTCGCTCTCTTTGCAGAGAAAAGGTGCAAGGAGCCGCCGTGTGCGGCTTCAGCACAGGTAAGCACACAGCACACAGTAAGCACAGGTAAGAGCAGCCCTTGGTCCCGCAGCCCCTGGCCCAGGCTGGGCACTGCATGCAGCCCCGCAGCCACTGACTGCCTGCCACCGTCCCCCCAGGCAGGAGCAGCCCCACGGAACCCCCACACCTCTGGGTGCTCCTCCTGGCAGCCGCAGCCCTGGCAGCCGTGGCAGAGCACTGACCTCCACACCATCCCACTGCTCCCCTCCATACGCACAGGAGGGCAGCAATATGCCAACGCATCTCATGGAAACGGCAGACTCTGCTTTCCCACTGCTGACGCTTTCGGTGTTGATGTCCGACGTGGGACAACAGCAGAGAATGTTCCAAGGCTCTTCCAGAAAAATAAAAGCGTTGCTTTTATTGCTTTTATTTACTGCACCTTCCAGCCCTGCTCACTCCCAGCCTCCCTGCCCTTATTTGCATGCTTTCTAGAATGTGGGGAGGGTCTCTGGGCTCATCTGGTCGCTGGATGAAAGCTATTGCGAAGACTTTATGGGGTTGCATTGTGTCTCAGCAGCAACTCTGCCTCCTTATCTTCACAGAGACCCCCAGTGACTTGCAGACAGCAGCTCTCTTATCTCCACTTCTCCCCAAGGACCTCACATTCCTATGGTTTTGGTGATCCCCCCTCTCTATAAAAAAATGGACCAGGTATCATTAATGAGCAATAAGTCAGATCTGGGGCCTAGCTTACTCTGATTTTATTCCCCATATTTACAATTGCCTCCAGCCTTTTCCATCTGGTTTGTTACCCAATCCGGGATTGTCCAATTTAGTGCAGCTATTCCAGAAACTGGCATCCTCCCCTCCCTGGCCCTACATACCCAACAAGCTGAAACATTCAAAGCTTGACTAAGCTTTTCAGTTAGCTTTGCAGAGGCATTTTTGGGCCAAGCTAAAGCACGAGTTAAAATTGTACAGGATAGATAAGTATGGAGCATTCTGTTTTCCTCTTGTAAGTGTCAGATGTCCCATGGGGGTAGCAGTCCATCGAGGATCTGGGGCCTTCTTTGCCCCGGAGTGATGAATCCACAAAGATGCCTCCCTGATTGTGTGGTCCACTATTAAATGGGGAGGCTGGTGGCCCTGCATGTGACAGGGCGGTTGGAGATTCATGATCCTTGAGGTCCCTTACAACCCTGGCTGTTCTGTGATTCTGTGATTCTGATTGCTGTGTGGGTGGGAAGAAGTACTTGGAATGGTCATGGAATCATAGAATCATAGAACCATAGATTCACAGAACGGCCTGGGTTGCAAAGGAGCACAGTGCTCATCCAGTTCCAACCCCCTGCTATGTGCAGGTCACCAACCAGCAGACCAGGCTGCCCAGAGCCACATCCAGCCTGGCCTTGAATGCCTGCAGGGATGGGGCATCCACAGCCTCCTTGGGCAACCTGTTCCAGTCCTCCTCATATCCAACCTAAACCTCCCCTGTCTCACTTTAAAGCCATTCCCCCTTGTCCTGTCACCATCCACCCTCACAAACAGCCGTTCCCCCTCCTATTTATTCAAGCACTGGAAGGCCACAATGAGGTCTCCCCGCAGCCTTCTCTTCTCCAAGCTCAACAAGCCCAGTTCCCTCAACCTTTCCTCACAGGAGAGCTGCTCCAGCCCTCTGCTCATCTCAGTGCCCTCCTCTGGCCCCGCTCCCACAGCTCCACGTCCTTCCTGTGCTGGGGGCCCCAGGCCTGGACGCAGTGCTGCAGATGGGGACTCACAAGAGCCGAGCAGAGGGGGACAATCACCTCCCTCTCCCTGCTGGCCACCCCTTTACTGCAGCCCAGCACACAGTTGGCCGTCAGGCTGCAGGCTCACACTGCTGGCTGTGTCAGCTTCTCGTCCTCCAGGACCCCCAGGTCCTCCTCTGCAAGGCTGCTCTCCAGCAGACCTTCCCCCAGTCTGTATCAACACCTGGCACTGCCCCGACCCGATGCAGCACCC